AGAGTACAAGAACCCACCTATATTCCATATTCCTCCAACAAGCCAAGATGAAACGCAGAAAAACCTGAAGGTTTGCTGGTATCACAGAGTATAGAGAAAGGTTAGCCAGGATCTTTGAGTAAGACAAATCAATTAATGTCACAGTCCCAACCAGGCTTGACAAAGTCAAAGATATTGTGAGAGTATAGTCAAACTAATGGAAATGGAAGCAGAAACAGAAAAAAAAAAGAGGAAAAACAACCTAGTTAGGTTCATTGAAAGTATGTGAGAAGGAGGAAGAAATAAGTTACTCTTTTCATTATTTATGGTTAAATGATGATATTTGTGTTAAATATATACTAATGTTAAGAAATACCCTTTTTATTAAAATACGCTTATGTAATCAGCCATGATCTCAGTAAATAGTGGAGCAAGATCAAGAAGTGAATGAAACCTCCCCTGATTCTTGTTCATTTGTTCTCTGTCTGTATCGATCATGTATATCTTTCGGTTGTGTTTGCAGTAAAAACAAGTGCACAAACCAATCTGTTAAATTTTCATGTATTTTTGATGTTGGTTATATCGTATGGTATTCTGGAACATAGGTACATGTATCATTGTATATGTTATTGTATCAGCTGTTTTTCAAGTCTTGAGGAAGCACATTGCAAGATCGAAGTGCTTTGCTGTATTGCCCTCTCTGTTGAGAAGGTGTAAATAAAGTTAGCTTGATAATGATTGCCCACAGCTGAGCATGTTAAATCAAGGTGGTGAAAGAGGAAAAAGGCAAAAAGAAATAAAAATCATATTTGGGCAATAGCCAATCCTACTTCAACAATTCCTCCCTCGTTTTCCATTTAAAGGTGTGTTAATCACCCACATTGAAGATTGTTAGAACAAATGGTTACAAAGGTTCCAATAAAAATAGGGGTTGAAAGAAACACCCAGCATGTTTGCATGAAGTAAATTCTACTTCTGCTTCAATATGATATGAAAGCTGTGTAGTACCCCAACATGCAGCGGCTAATGAGAACAGTTCACTGGCAAACAACTGACCTTCAAGTAGCACGGCACCTGTGGCTCTAACTACAAATTCAAAGCTTACCCCTCACTGCAATATTCCAGCTCTGACAGTTTGAAGCATTAATCTAGCTGACTATCTGAACACTTAACAGCACTATTAGTCTCCTAGTGAGCAAATGTTAAATTCAAGTCCTGTGAATATAATTTTTTATAAAGCATGTCTGCTTAGCAGCAAAATGTCAAGGCTCTTCTCAAGAAAACCTTGTATGTTTTACAGGCTGAATAAAATCTGAAGGTGTGGTTGGGATGACATGGCTTGATTACAGTCTCCTGGGCAGTTCTTGTTATTTGCTAATAAATTGCTCAGCTTCTACATTTCCATGATTTGTGCAACTAATTTCACCTTCAAGCTCAATGACACTTTTCCCCATAAATCCAAAGCAAATATCAAGTTATAGAGTAGCCAACGACCTTATAGCACTATATCTTAATTTGTCACTTTTTTTGTAAACACATTCATAAAATCATAATTTTTCAACATAATAATCCTTCATGAAGAACACTGGATGTTGGTTAACTCACTTGGCTAGATGGCTAGGGTGTGATTGAGAATCATGCCAATGGTGCAGTTCAAATCACATGTTGGCATTGCTAATTCATGGAGGCCCACCTCCTCAACTTGCCCCTGGTTTGCAGCATGGTGCTCCTCAAACTATACATAACCAATTGCTTCTCTCGAATGGTAAAAGGTGCCTCAGTATTTTGTGGACTATACTAATTACCCACAAAGACCGTACTAGGCGTTTCACTGCAAGCTTGGTAGAATGGCTTATCTACTTAGCAGCCATATACAGAAAGCCAAGTATTTATCTGGATTCCAAAACTGCAGAATGATTATATACATTTATTCACATAGGTATTTTTTCATTGTACAATAGAAAGAGTGACAAGTGAAATCTTATATTTTGTTGTTGCTCTTGTAGATTTTGGTTTTGTTTAGAAAAAAGCAGCAACATGTCCAGAGATAGATTTATGTCACTTTCTCTTTCTACACAGCATTTGACATAATTTAAACAAAGCAAAATTATGAAATAAAATGAGGTAAAAACAGATATTTATAGAGAATCTGTGCAGCTTTTCTATCTTTAGGTTATTTCAATTTTGTTACAGCTAAAGAACACTATCCACCAGCAAAGTACTCTTCCCAAAATAGAAGAAGTGGTAAAACAATATATCTCGTCACTAAGAGAATAACAAGAACTACAGATGCTGGAGTGAGAGACAACACAGTGTGGAGCTGGAGGAACACAGCAGGCCAGGCAGCATCAGAAGAGCAGGAAAGCTGATGCTTCGGGTCGGGATCTGAAGAAGGGTCTTGACCCAAAATGTCAACTTTTCTGCTCCTCTGATGCTGCCTGGCCTGCTGTGTTCCTCCAGCTCCACACTGTGCTATCTCCAACTCGACACTACCTCACTTTCTTTCCTTTCCAAATATTGGTCAGAAAGCTAACCAGGAGAAACAACTAAACGTTACAAAATTATATTCAAAACAAACTGATTTTTTGCTGCATGTTTGGCAGGATCATTTGACTTTTTTTCTGAAAAAAATATATTACATAGCACCAGTGTACAATTTTAAACAAATTTAGATTATGTAGTTTGCTCTGTAATAAACATTTGGGCTCATCTAACGATGAGGACAGTAATATTATTCAACATGCAAAATGTATCAAATAGCTAATAACTTTTGTGACCACATCAGCTTTAATAACATTTTCATTGTAATTTGTCATAGTGATTTAATCAATTGGATATGTGCCTTTTTTTTACACACTCTTGTCTAATTCTTTAAACTTCTGTTCAAATACTTGTCTACTGTATGCTTACAAGTTCATAAAACTCTTCAGAGATTTATTTAAATAATAGATTATTTATTATATATGGATTGTTATAGAATCATTTCTGAGAAACAAGAGTCTTTATTTATTTAAAACACGTCAATAATTGCATATTTTCGCCAGAACCAGCCTAACCTAAAGTAAATTCTATTCTAGATGAAATTTCTTTATCCGCAAGCCTGTCAAATGTATTTATAAATGATTATTACTAAAATGAATATTTTTCAATTTCATCTGTGATTTCTTTAGGCAACAATTTGCTAAAGTAAAAGAAGCACTGCAAAATCCTCCTAGCACAGAAGGAGGAACGAACAGTAAAACTCCAACAAGCAACCAGCAACTTTATTTAGAACTGCACAAGCAACGTATCTGAAAGCACTAACATAGACTGATTCAACTCTAAATCCTCATGGGTATTTCAGAAATATTACGCTTTACACGCATACAAAATAACTGCTAGAGGCAGTCACAACCAGTGTTTCATACTTTTAAATCAAACACAACAAAATGGTGCATTGCTGTTATCTATTTAAGGATGAATACCAATGCTCTTACTTGCTGTAACCCAATTTCCTTACATCAAATTATTTGTACTTCATATTTTTCAAAGAAGTGCATTGTGGAGCACAGTTGCCACTTCAAAAAAAAAACTTGTATCCCTATAGTGAACCTCAAGTGTAGTCAGATCTTAGAACACTCGACAGGGTAAAGGATGCCAAGCAAGAAGGGAAGAGAGGGGTTTAGGGGCACATGGCATCACAAATGAAAAGGTATTTTGAAAGCTACTGAAAAGAGAAGTTCAAGAAGATGTGGAATAGCAGCTAAAGGATTTACTGATGGCTGGGCAGTAATCGAATTTCACACAGTGGAGGATACATCGAGAATTACACAAGTTGCAGAAAAGGGTGAGAACTTGAACAGATTTGATGCACTGTGTTGATTACAGAGGAAGATATTTTAAAGTCAATTTTTTTGGAGCTCAAAGAGACAGCAGGTGATAGGAAGTGATATGGCTGTAACCCCAAACATGGTTGAGAACATGGACGCTAATTGTAACTTGGTTACCATAGTTTAAAGAGGATGGAACAAGAGATGACAAAAAAAAAGAGATCATTGAATAAATATATATTTTCAAAGTAATAAAAGCAAGATTTAACATTTCATAACCAAAGGGGGAAATGTAAGGTGCAGAGGGAGAAAAAAATTTAGAGGTCAAAGAAAGCAGTTTCAATATTAGGTCAGATTTCAGACAGAAAACAGAAATCAGGATCAAACTTGAAGGTCAATATTCCACACCTCTGATCTTAAGCTGAACTGACAGCTGGCAGTTTAAATAAAGTTAGAGATGGCCAGGTTTTCAGGAAGCTGAAAAGGATGACTCAAGCTTTGCCTGCATTTACGTGAATGAAGTTCATCACAAAGAATTGAAAACTAACAGAACATGAACTGATGGCCAGGGACCAGAAGGATAACTGTCCATTTAGAGAAACCTGATAAGGGTGAAGTCACATCATTCCTTTTTAAAGGTATTTACTTTCAATGTATGGGATCCATATGTCATTCATTGCCACTGCCAAATCTATACAGCAAAATAATATAGCAAACAAGGGGAAATTGGGTTATTTGAAAGACGAGAATGTGCAGACTTACAATTGGAAGGCAGGGAAATGACACAAGGTATATTGCTCATTCAGAGAGCCTGGACAAACACGGGAGGCCGAATGGACTTCTTCAGTGATGTAACCACTCTGATCCCAGGTGATGTCAGCCACAAGATTTCTTTCTGTTCTTCCTTCCCCAAAATATATAAATCAGCAAATATTTGCTTTCCACAAAATTTAAAACCGGTAATGTTACCGGACACCCACTAAGAATCTCATCAATAAATTGAATTATTGTGGCAGAGAATTATGAGAAACATCTCTTGGTGTTACAGCCTACAGCTAAAGTATGGGGAAAGAGTGTTGCAATGCATATTATTTTACAGGGAAATTTTAACCTTTCTGCTATTTGAAATAAAAACGTCAACCAATATTTAACTTCGCAATAGACAAGAAAAATATGTAAAACACTTCAAACAGAAGGTTAAAAGAAACTCACAGTAAATATTCTCCTCCCTGTTCGATCAAAAGTAACACAGTAAACAGATGATAGGTGCCCCAGAATTCGCTTATGCATCTTCATATGTAGATACACAGCTGTTGGAACAAGCTGACCGAGTCGAAAGCTCCCAGTAAGTTGTCGAGCCCGAATGGTATCCACTGCAAATCAGAAAAAGCACATTTATAGCCTGCAAACTATAAGAGATATTTCTTTTTGAAAAAGTGCATGTTGTGGAGCAGAAAAATAAAGCAATTATCATGATGCATTCTTTGACATTTATAATGGCTCCAGTCAAACATATGAAGTACACTCCAAAAAGTAAAGAAACCATTGCACTACTTACTAAAGGAAATGCACATCAAATAAAGCACAAGATTACAAGCTCTGTGTTTTAACTTTAGATTGAAGTTCCTACCATAAAACAAACCTTACACCACCGAGGTTAGAACTCATGTGGTCTCTTCAAGAACATCAAAATTTAGATTTTTATTTTAAATTTCAACAAAGTTATAGGTATAAAAGAATCAGTCAGAGATCAATGCTTACTCTTCAATCAGTTTATAAATATCCTGCAGCACTGCAACAGCAATCATTTCAGGGAAGGACAGATGTATTGCATATCATTATGGAAATGATCGTTTTGCAATTCAGCAAATTAAAAATATTACTGAAAACAATGATTGACGTGGTCTCATAACTTCATCGGTTTAACTCACAACTACATGACATTTGACCTGAATCAATTTTGAGTAACATGCAAATTTTGGCATCCTGTGAAGAACATAAATTACTAGCCTTGGTAGAATTATTTACAACAGTAATCTCCCCTGTATCCAGCATGCATGGGGACTGGGAGTGCCAGTTATCTGGATCTGCTGATTATAAGAAATATTAGTGGCAGCTGGGAGAACACTACTCGCCACTGCAACAAGATGCATGTGCATTTTAAAAATGAGTGACCAAGACCAGTCATAAATACCTAGCCATGATTGGTGATTCCTTCTTTATCAGTAAGGTAAATCTTGCATTATCTTTAATAAAGGCATCTAGTCCATTATTCCCTTCCAATTGCTAATGTAGTCAAGTCCTTATTATCCAAATTTCTCATGTAACCAGCATTCGAGATTCAAAAAGGGAATTTCAGGTGCTGGGAGTTGATAGTGGTGGCTTTACAGTATAGAGGAATATGAGGGGTGATAGGAAGGAGAAAAAGTCAACTGGAAAAGTTCAGTTAAAAGGGGAAGAAAAAAGTGTACAATTATAAGTATACAGCATATACAAGAACATAGTGAATTACTGAATTATAGAATTTGGTGATTGCAGCAGTCTAAAAGTTGTGTACTAAATATGCATTTAATGATATGGTTTTATCTAAATATTAGAAATTCAATTTCATTCAGTGTTTGTCTTCTATGATACATATCTGTACTTTGGAATGATCATTGTTAGTATTTCAAACATCTCATTAATAAAAGTGGAGTTTTCCCGTTATAGGATTTTTTTTCTTGTAAATGGAAGCCATGTAACCAGTGTCGACTGTCATGAAAACCCAACTGGTTCACTAATGTTCTTACCTGGTCTAGCCTACTCGTGATTCCAGTGCCATAGCAACGTGGTCAACACTTAAATTGTTTCATGAAGCAGTTTGGAATGGGCAATAAATGCTGACCTAGCCAGCAGCATAAATTAATATAAAGAGTTAATCTGTTTACATGTAATTTTATTTATAAATCACACATCAATTCCACATCGTACATTTCTGAGTGTCCTTATTTTTCCATTTGTGGTCACGATGAAGTTATACAAATCCTGAATTCTGTCAAAATATAGTTAAGAAGAACTGCAACTATTAGTGAAAAATAATTGTCAATTCCACCCCCTCCCCCACCAATCCCCACAAATTGCCCTCTCTTCTCCTCTTTGGAACATATCTGCTACACAAAATATAAAATAATACAACTTGTGGACGTTTGCAAACCATCAACATTGCACATTAGTCTTGAGACTCAGACAGTCAAAAGAATTAAGCAAATTTAATTCAATACAGATATGAATATAGAGGAATATATTTTGATCAATAACTGTTTATAAAAAGTCCCAATTTGAAAGTCCATTAGCAAAGGTAGGCAAGGGGAAAAAAATTGAGTGGAAGTTTTGTTTAAACTTATTCTTTCATGGGACATGGGAATTGCCACAATGCCAGCATTTGTTGTCCATCCCTAATTGTCCCTTGAATGGAGTGACTGACTGCTAGTCCATTTTGGAGGGCAGTTAAGAGTCAACCACATTGCTGTGGAACCTGACCAGACCAAGTAAGGATGACAGATTTCCTTCTGCAGAGGTCAATCGTGAACCAGGTAGGTTTTATGACAATCAATAACGTTCATGATTACCATGCTGAGAACTAATTTTCAATTCCAGATTAATTGAATTTAAATTCCACCATCTGCTGTTGTGAGATTTGAACCAGTGTCCCTGGACTATTAGCCTGGACATCTGGATTACTAAGTGACATTACCAATACAACACAGGGTTCCCGTAAACTTCCTGAAAGCTTCTTGTCAAAGTGAAGTACTGTACTGTTGACATACACCTGGAACATAAGTCTATCAGAACAACATACTTGCAACTTAATATCTAAATATCACTTCTCTCCAGTATTGTTTCTATTTATGGGCACACTACAATCAACTATATCACTGCCTTTTCACTACTACTGGGTCAAAAACTTAGAACCTCCTTCCCAATAATATTATGGCTATAACTACATTACATGGACAGTAGTAGGTCAAGACAGCAGTTCACTATCACGTTTTCAAGGGCAGTCAGGGCTGGGCAACAAATGTAGACCTTTCCAAAGATACTCCTGTCCAATGGAAGACTAAAAAATAATTCCTTTATCAGCACTCTTGTAAAATAGGCTTGCATCCTCCTCGTCCAACACAGCGGCAGTTCATATTATAGTATTATGTTGACAGCATCTCCCAGCATCGCATCCCCAACATGCCAAGGACAAGAGCAGCAGCATAACCAATGTACCATTATATCCAAGTCACATCCTTAATCTATACTGGGTCAGAAGTTTGAAATTGCCTACTCTACAACATTGTAGAAGTGCCTTTTCTAGGAATAGCCAGCAAATATAGTCTTAGTAGCATAGCAACATTTAGTTATGTAAAAGTAGAAAATAATTGAAACATCAAAAATCAACAAGAGTGATCCTGATACTTAGGGCTTTAAGTTGAGAGATGTAAGAAGATAATCTTTTTTTGTGGGGGGGTGTTGTTGAGGGTGGATTTATTCCTTCACGGAATGTTAACATTGCTGATAAAGCCAGAGCTTATTGCCAAGCCCTAACTGCTTTTGAGAAGGACCAGGGTGGGCAGCCTTCTTGAGATGTTGCAGTCCATCTGGTATAGCTGTACACACAGCACAATTAGAACAGGAGTTCCAAGTTTTTTTGATCCAGCAAAAGTAAAGACAAACGATCAAGAGCACTGTGTTCATTTAACTAAATTAACTTGCTTTTGAATTGAGAGTAAAGAATTTGAAAAAAAAACCTCAGTTTTAAAATTCGACAAGCTCCCACAAAGACTATATTAGAATAAAGTTTCACCGCACAGAATAGTGGGTATGCGAAAAAGGCATCCATCAAAAGCAAATAATATGCCAATTAGTTCCTTCAAAAGAATTATTTCAATTATGTTGACAGAATGGGAAACAGACACCATAATCAAAGGTAGCGCTTCAGTACAGTACTGAAAGGGGGATGGCATTGTTGGATAGTGTGCATGTGATAATTGTTTATACCGTATTATGATTTTTGGAGTTTAAAATAGATACATATGGAGTTTGGTTTCAGATCTCTGAAGATTTTCTTTTAAAAAGTTCATACAGACACTTGGATCTGCAATCCAAAACGTATGCGACTCAATCAAGTGCCCTGCAAGAAACCTGTGCTGTTAATCGATGGAACGTTATGCTGCTGAGTTTATGATAAAAAAAATGGATTAGGAACCATTACTTTTATTTTTGACTTTAGTTCAGAAATGTCAAATTTGCAGGAGAACAGTCACCCTAACATAAGGCTGCTAGTTTGTGAACCCTCCAAGCTGAGAGACTTGGTAAAGAAGTTTTCAAGCTGTTAGAACTGAAAGAGCGTAAAGCCAGCAGACCTAGAAAGATGCTGTAAAAGCCGTATCAGCAGTCCAAATAGAACCAGGCAGAGCCAGTTAACTAAGAGATTAAGGAGACAGAAATGATATTTCTCTGGAATTAAAGTACCTGTAACAGATACTGCTGGGAAACGTTGGAAACTTTCGGTTTTGCTGATAATGTTAAGCCGTCTTACGTACAGCTTGACTTTTTCCTCATTTATATCACAAACCTGTGTTCTTTCATTAAAGAACATTTGCAGCCTTTTGCAAACTTGTTTTGATTACTAATCACCATGACAACCAACTGCAAAAATTACACTTATGATCGATCTAGCCAGGTTTTCACTCTTGTCTTGTCAAGTGTTGCCATTAGCTGGGATTATAACATGCCTTTCAGATGAGATACCAAATTGAGATTGCTCATGGACACGTGAGTGGAAGTACAATTATAGTATGGACTACAGTACATACAAGAACTGGAAAGGAGTAATTATTGGGACATTAATTATTTTAATGGGAAAATAAGAATGTTAGGGCAAGTGTTGGGGATGGTTTGTGGGGAGGGGGAAAACATTCTTAAATCAAAAGTTTTTCTTTTTTGCTAAGTGTATTTCCAGCCTAGCGTGGAAGGAACTGTACTGGATTTAGATCTAGGGAATGCAGTGGGCAAGTGGAGCATAAATGCAGAAACATTTTGGAAACAGTGATCACAATACTATTTGGTTTAAAATGGGTTTGCAAAAGCAGAGGAACAATTAAAAGTACAACTACTCAACTGTAAGAATACTAATTTAAGAGCAAATTGGAACCAAAGAAATTCAGACGAAACAACAAATGAGAACTGGAAAAAAAAATGAAATTGATTATGTAAAAACTGAACAAAATTCAGATAAGGGAAAAGAAGGGGCAACATTTGAGCTTTCTGGATGACCAAAACCATTGTGGTAATTTTCACTGAGTTGGCTTCAGGCCAGATATTTGAATTTTAAATCTGCTCACTT